AATTAACAAAAACTAAAGATAATGCAAACTGACTTTATATAGGATGCAAATAGCTGACAACTGATGAAATGAACCCAGTCGAGCAAAGGAAAATGTAAAACAAAAAGTAGTTACACATTGAGATCACAAAAAGGACTTGTGAGCTATGCAGTAAATTCCGCTCTCAGGTTCACACAAAAGCAGTTATCTTTATAAAATACTTAAAAATTAGCTTATAGAGACTTTAAATACATATAAATAATGGTTTACCTTTTTGGTTAATAACCTTTGGTTAATGGTTAATAACCTTTTTAAAAAAGAATTATTAATTTTAAAAACAGTTAAGAGTCTGAACCCTAATATCTGAATAAACATACTATACTGCAATAGAATCAAAAACAACTTTAAATATCTGATAAATAATTTAAAATTTTTGAAAAGTGATTTTGTATAACAAAACAGGTGTTTAATAATCTTTCAAATATCACCTCAGTTTCATATAAATGTAAGAAGTGAAATATAAAAATATAGAAAAACAATATTTATAATTTGACCAAAATATTTTTTTTATTATAACATTGCCATTTAAATAGAGTAAAACACAATGTGTAAAAGAGACAAATAATGTAGTTAAGAAAAACAAATAGTTATTTACTTAATAATTCAGCAGATGAACATTTTGTATTTTGGGGGAAAAAAGGACTCTCAATGTGTTATTATAAAGGTGCGTAACCAGCATGCCTAAAATTCTTAAATCTCAGACCCCATCTTTGATCCAAAGATATAATGGGAAGAAAAAAAAAACTACCTAACTTGCAGCAAATGAATTTGTAATTGCTCTTAACTAACAATAACTTAAATATTTTTTTAAAAAATGCTTTATTAAAATTTTTAAAAGGTATCTAGATAGTATTAGTTTAGATATAAAAGTCTTTTGGCGTTTAAAATAATTCCTAAGATTTTTTTTTGTTGAAAAAAAGCATGTCAAAAACATTTGTAGATGAAGGATATAGAAAAAATACTATTATTTTAACAAAAGGAAAAGTTAGAAATTTACTATAATTCTATTACTAAAGATGCGCAAAATTGTATCTTATTTTTAATTAGACATATTTATTTCAAGATAGATAAAGTTGCAACACAGTTTAAAGAACAATTTTGTATATTGTCATTAAAACTGTGTTTGTTGCAGTCTTCCAGATTTTTTTTTACCTTTAACTTTAAACCAAAAAAAGTTTTAAGACATTTTCTTCAATATAATCTTACAATATATGAATAAAATACAATTCCTTGATTAAAACATAATTATGTTTTAATCAAGATAATTATTCACAGAACTTACCAAGGAAACTTAAAACGCCAGCAAACCAGTCAAAGAGGAACATAGTGAAATCTAAAGAAAAAAATACTAGGCATTAATTAATTTTTAAAGATAGGCAAGAAACAAACTGAAAAATCAAGTCCTATAAAATTAAAATCGCGAAATACATTCAAACTTAAGCTAAATCACAAGCTTAAAGCAATTTTGAAACGAAGTTAAAGTAAGAGAACAAAAAAACAAATATCAAGAACTATTTATAAAACAGTTTAAAAAATTACATAAATATTATGAGTACAAGACTAAACAACTTTATGTATACGCAGTTTGACAGATAACAAAGTAAGAGTACAGAGAATAGCTTTGAGAAATTAAAGGAAAAAAATAATATGCATGCACAGTTTATTGAATTAAACCTTTTATCAAATCAGCTTTTAATAAGAGACAACTTAATTTAGGAAAATTTGTGTGTACGCATCGAATCAACGTATCACCTGTCCTTGTAGTAAACAAACATAACATGGATAACGCAAAAAGTTTCCGGCTTTATGATGACAAGAGAATTTTTATACAAACAGAGAAGAACCTTTAATTGTAGAAAAATTCAATATTTCCTAAAAATGAATTATAATTAAGAAAGTAGGACATTACCTTTTGAAGGCGTTCAGTACAAGTAATACACTACGATTTGATGCAATGATACTATGAAAAAGAAAGTTTAAAAAATTAACAAAACGATCGCAGCAGAATAAAACCAGATGTGCAAATATATTCGACTGCAGCGCCAATTCTTTTTAATTTTAAAAAAAAATAATAATAATTTTAAAACTTTTATCTCCAGCTTTTTAATTGATTCTTGCCTAATAAAGGTTTAGAAATAAAAGTATTTTTTTTAGTTTGATTAATTAGGTTAATTAATATGAATATACATTAATTGGAAAATATATCAAATTTCATGAGCAAAATAGTATGAAGGTAAAAAAAAAATTCTTTTGATGAGCAAGGAAG